TGTGTCTGTCTTTGTGACTGTTTCTGTTCTAGTGTCTGTTCCCGAGCCGGTGTCTGTTCCCGAGCCGGTGTCTGTTCCCCGCCCTGGCCGCCCGATGGACTATGTGTTTCTCCCTCACCGCCCTATGGACTCTCTGTTTCGCCCTGGCCGCCCGATGTCCCTGTCCCGCCCTGGTCTATCCCTCCCGTCCCGCCCTGGTCTATCCCTTCAGTCCCTCCGATCAGTCCCTCCGATCAGTCCCTTCCGTTCCGCCTTGATGTTTCCTTCCTGCCCCACCCTAGCCTGATGGAGCGTCTGGTAGCCGCTCCGTAGGGAGGGGGTTATGTCACATGCCTGTCCTGTCTTGTGTTGCACATGGGTGTAGTTATGTTGTGCCATGTGCTGTTGTGATTGTTGATCCCTCCCCCTCGTTACCTGATTAGTGTTTGAGTTGTTCCACCTGTTCCCTCTTGATTTGTTCCCTTTGTAAGTCTCCTCTTGTATGCAGTCTTTGTCGGTTCGTTGTCATACGTCTTCCCAGTTCCTTGTTTATGTTCAGAGTCAGTGTTGGTTTCTTGTTCATTTTTTATGTTTTCCCCCTCGTGGGTTTTTGATTTGTGTTTGTACTGTTTTTGTTATTAAATCCTCGTTTTGCACTTGAGTTCTCTTCCTTGTTTTTGTACTTGTACCCGTGACAATTTAATTCTTAAAATGGTCTCTCCATTGAGAATATCTTGTCACAAAGGCAATAGATTATGTTAATTTTGAGCTAATTTTAATTGTAATAATATGCTGTAAAAAATTACGTGCCATTTTCAACGGTCTGTGAATGTTTCATGAGCTGTATGATGTTTTTGACAAATTGCAGTACATAGTACAAAAAAGTATGTTATAGATTATGAAAAAAAGAAATAATATTTATCAGCAAATAACTCAGCAATACCTAGGAGTTTTTCAAATTGGCTACATTCACTGTAAAGTTCAGACTCTAAGGTTTCAAATGACACCTATTTTGTGTTAATCAAGGCAATATTTTTGAAAAATATGATAATGAATATTTTCGCAGCTAGGTGGCCCCCGCGGGCGGTACACTCCGTTTTAGAGGGACTATTCAGCTCTCATTCAGAGTTGATCGAAGTGGTTAGATCTTTACAAAGCGGAGATTCTAAGCTTTAAGATTATACATATTTTGTGTTATTCCACGTTTGAAAAAATGCACGGATGGCTCCGGGAACATCGGAAAACACATTGCATCCCGGAAAGATGAGAGACATGTTTTTTCACCCCAGTCTCATCCCAAGACGTCATATGACTGACGCTTTTGACCATACGTCAACATCCGACGTTTTAGGGTACCCTTTAACGTCAGTCAGATGACGCTATCTAAAGGTGTGTTCGACATCGGCTGCGGCTGGATGTAACCAGAGCCATAGAGAGAAAGAGTTGCGACATTCCCATAGACATAATAAATACAAATGCTTCAGTCAAATGGTAGGCTATTACAGGTTTTATTTATTATTATTATATTTATAAATATAGATGGAAATGGGTGACATACATTATATGTATATATGAAAGTGACATGATGTGTAGCCAAGTATGGTATCCCATACTCGGAATCTGTATACATTTGACCCATTTAAGTGCACACACACAGCAGTGAGTATTGGACACACACTCGGGCAGTGGGCAGCCAGTGTTGTGGCGCCCGGGGAGCAATTGAGGGTTAGGCGCCTTGCTCAAGGGCACCTCAGTTGTGGGTAATGAGAGTAGAGGAGAGCGCTGTTCATTCACTCCCATACATTTCCTGCCGGTACTGAGAACCCATGATCCTTCGTGTTACAAGTCCGACTCTCTAACCAAAAGACCACAACTTCCCTTTATGTACTTTTCCTCTCATCCATCAGGGAGAAAGAAATGAGTGTCTATCCTAATACATAGGCAGGTAAATTTTACCTTAAGCAAAGACTCAGGTAAGATTAATTTTAGTAAATGGCTCCATAGAAGGCATTAATGTTTCACTTATGAACGTGTATGCACCAAATGAGGACAGGCCTACGTTGATTCAATGTCAGTTTGCTATCTGGGTGCTTTTATTAAAAAAGTTTTCAATGCAATTGCACAGTATAGCATTGGAATATTATTAATGGGAGGAGATTTCAATTGTATTATGTCACAACATTTGGACAGACAACCCAGCTCTACTACTTCACTCTCCCGAGTGAGTAAGATGTTAAAATACCAGTCTTCTGAATTTGGACTAGTAGATGTGTGGAGAACAGGAGAAGTATATTTCCAAATCGTAGAGATTATACATTTTACTCTTATAGACATGCATCTTATTCTTCTAGGATAGATTATTTTTTCACTCCCGAAGAAGATCTATATAGAATAGTATATATGAAGAGATTACCAATGACAATTTCGGGCCATTCACCTGTGGAACTAATATGGAGCACAGGACATAGAAAACTTCCAAACAATGGAGATTGAATGCCTCGCTCCTTAATGATAAAGAATTTATTTATTTTGTCACAACAGAACTTAAATTATATCTAAGTATAACTCTACAGAGGTATCACCACTCATAGTATGGGATTGTGCAAAAGCATATCTCAGAGGCCGGATTATTTCATTCGCAAGTGCCAAGAAGAGAGAGAGAGTAGCTAAACAACAAGAATTAGAACACACTGTAGCTTAATTGCTGATAAGATCGAAGGCAATCTAAGATTTATTAACCAAAGATATTATGAACATGGCAATAGGGCTTGTAGATTGTTAGCAATAAGATTAAGAAAGCAAAGATCTTCAAACATCATACAAAAAATTATATCTGGTAGCTCTATCAATCCCCATACTAAACCTGATGAAATTGCAGAATCCTTTGCAGATTTCTACAAATTACTCTGATGATAATATTCTGGCACCATTCCTAAATAATATAAAATTGAATGAGTTAACAGTCAATGACAAAAGGAGGATGAACCCATTAAAGAAAGTGAAAAAGAGACAATCTCTATGTTGAAGAATAATAAAAGCCCACGACCCGAAGGATATATAAATAAATTCTATAAAAACTTTAAAGAGCAAATCCACTCGCCTCAGTGAGAGGAAACGGTTGTAGATCTGGACGCTTTACTCTAGAACGTGGATGCAGACAAGGATGTCCATTGTCGCCTTTGCTGTTTGCTATCAGCATTGAACCCCTTGCTCAACTCATTCGGGATGACAGTGCAATTAAGGGAATTGTAATTGAAGGAGAGGAACATAAGTTGTCGTTATACGCAGATGATGTCCTACTTTGCCTAACAGAACCTGAGACAACAATTCCATATTTAAAAAAGCTAATTCTCAAGTATGGATACTACTCTGGATATAAAGTGAATATGGATAAAACTGAGGCCATATGTTAATGGTCCAAATTAAAAGCAATTGGCCCAAGAATGGGTTTACATACTTAGGCATCTTTATTCCCTCCTCTTTGGACCAGTTATGTGACAAACTATAAAAAAGTGATTAAAAATATAAGTGAAGATTTAAATCGTTGGACAGCTCTCCCTCTCTCTCTCTCTCTGGCTGGCCGTTTTGAATCTATTCGTATGAATGTCCTGCCGAGATTACTTTATTTGTTTCAGATGTTACCCATAGATGTGCCAAAATCTATCTTTGATTTTCTGAATAAAATAATTTTTAAATTTATTTGGCAAGGAAAACGGCCAAGAATAAGGCTCAAAATAATACAATCGCCTAAAACAAATGGCGGGCTGGGACACCCAAACTTTAGGTTTTACTTTTGGGCAGCTCAATTGAGGCCCCTGGTTTCATGGATGGGAGAAGACACACAAACCCAGTGGATCAATATAGAAAATAGCCTCTGTTCCATACCCCTTAAAATAGTACCCTTTTCCGGTGTATCATTAAAAAATGTCTCCATGGGTGAATGGACCAAAGTTACTTTAAAAATTTGGAGAACTATACAAAGATCAGTTGGTTTGTCTAAGAAAATCTCATCTGCAGCAAGCATTGGCTATCTTAATGACTTTGCACCATCTCGTACAGACGTGGGTTTCAAAAAGTGGTCACAATTTGGACTTGATTATCTGCACCAATTATTTCATAATGACACACTTAAATCATTTGAACAAATACGAAATGAATTACACTCTCAAGTTCTGAATTTTTTAGATATTTAAAACTGAGACATTTCCTCACAACGCATAAGGAACTAGAAATTATTTTTTTTAAAACCTCCCCAATAGAAGGTTATTTTAAAGAAATACAAATTGGACATGCGGTAAAAAAAAAAGATTTCTAAAGGATATCTGTTATTTTTGTCTAAGAATTAAAATAACACATTAGCTACAGAACAAGGAAAAATGGGAGGCTGAAATTAATGAAACAGTTCCTCATGAAACTTGGGAGGAAGCTTAGAGAGGTACATCTTGTGACCAACTCTAATGTCTGGAGGGAATTCAAATGGAAGATAATAACCAGATTTTTTCAAACTCCACAGATAATTGCAAAATGGAATCCATCCTGCTCACGTGCTGGAGAAATTGTGGCCAGCATGTTGGTAACCACACCCATATTTTGTGATCATGTCCAAAATTAAGAAATTACTGGAAAGATCTATTTGATGCCCTTGAAGAGATCTTCCATTATGAAATCCCAGAAGACCCCATAATAGCCCTTCTAGGTGTGCGTCCAGAGGGCCTTGAGGGTAGAGCTAAAATATATTTACTACAAATTGTGTCATCTCTGCCTTTCTCCATTCTTTTTTTTTTTTATTCCTCTCCCCTCCCTCCCTCGGTACTATTTGTTTTCATTCTCTGTATAATGTGTACGATATACTTAAGTTTGAACAATTGTCAATATTGTGGGAACATGATAGACTAACATGGTAAAACCCAATACCATACTGTATCGTATGCAATGCTGTGGCTCTAAATAAAAATATAAGTAAAATAATAATAATAATAATAATAATTTGCAAGGGCCCTGCACTAGTAGTAGTAAATTGAATAATATATGAGTGCATACAAAGAAATTGAACACCAACAGCAAGACTTCATTTCATATCGGTTAATACTGGCAGATAAATACAATATAGAAAACTTGTCAAGTTATAATATAGTTGTTGTTGTTTTAAAAGATATCCACTTCATTTTGTACATTTTGTTTTGTATTGTCACTGTGCAGCTGTACTGAGAGCATTTCATATGTTTGATGACGTTTTCGCTCGTTTTGCCTTCCTGCCCCAAAACACAGATCTGATCTGCTGTCTGCACTGAGACGAGCCGTAGTAGTACAGTAGAGGGTCCAGGAAAACACTTGCGCTCCCCAAACACACAGCCAACAGGTAAGCAGCATATGATGAATCTCCCTCCCCTCCAGTAGCTAAACGAACACAGTGATACAAAAGGATGCCATTGGTTGGAGCGAAACACACCACAAACTCCATCAGCACGGTGATAACCATAATCACAGCTCTCCTTCGGTTGTCTGAAGATGATGAAGATTTTGCTAAGCGATTAGACTTTACACTGAGCACATATATTATGGTAAAGGAGCTCACTAAGGTGACAACCAGTGGCAAGAAGAAGTAGAGGCAGGAGAGGATGGAGAACAGGTACACATACTTCTGTGTTTGATCCGGCACGTCATGACAAGTGATGCCCACATCCCTAATCTTGACCGTTTGTGTCATTGAGAGAAGTGGCACCGTCCCAGCGAGCGCCAGCAGCCAGACCAGCACACACACACACGTGGCTTTCCTTGCACTCCTCCAGGTTAGAGAGGCGATGGGAAGCGCCACGGCCAGCAGTCTGTCCACACTCATGCACATCATCAGCAGTATGGAGCAGTACATGTAGCAGTAGTAAGCAGCACTGAGCACACGACACGCCGCCTCACCGAACACCCAATCTGAAGCGTTCAGCTGGTAGTGGATCTTCAGAGGCAGCAGCAGGGTGAAGAGCAGGTCCGCACACGCCAGGTGAGACATGTAGATCACAGCTGGTTTCTTCTCTCGAATCCTACAGGTGAACGTCACCAAGGCCAAAGCGTTCAGGGGCAAACTAATGAGGGTGATGAAGATGTAGAACGAGGGCATGACGCGTGTGACCATCAAGCCTTTGAGGAAGAGAACAGCCTCGTCTGAGATGTTAAATATTTCAGGGATTACTGTAGTGTTGTGACTATATGCTGCTGCTTCTGATGTATTGGTCTTTTTTGATGCTCGCGGCTTCTTTTTTCTTAAAAACCCACCCGGACAAAAGGGAGGAACTGTAACGAGCACAAAACACAATGAGTGAAGGTCAACATACAATTATTAGAAAAAAGGTAAGCATGAGATCCACCACTAAACATTACCATGCCTGGAGTGTATGCAGACTGTATAAAAACTTAACAAGTGAAATATGAATTTTACGAATTGACACCAATTCTGCAAAATGTAAAATAGTTAGAAATTGCTAGTGAGATTGTGTTGCATATTACTAGTAGGCATTGTTGAAGAACTCCGATTAAAGGTTTTGTTGTAAGATGAAGCAGGCGAACCGGAGTCAGGATCTGTAATCAACACAAAAGATCATTAGTGAAAGCTCTCATAATACCACCAGAGAATAATTAAGAGAACATGGACATATTTGAGAAAAGGCTTTGATGGAGATTGTTGTATTGGAGGAATTGAATTCCAAATTTGGATATATTTATATTGCATGAATGCTACCTTACATGTGCAGATAAACACAGAACCTCCACACACAGACACATATTCACTCATGCCCATTTCTTAAAAATGCTATTTATGAGGGTATCTATGAAATGTGATCTACAGCAATTAGCGTGTCCTTTGCAATGTTGAAATGAAACCTATATATGCCAGGCATCATGACTTTGCGTAAACATACACGCCACTTTCAAATCAAGTGGCGTGTTTATCTATACGCATTTTGAGCTAAACGCGTGTAGCCTATGTCCACGCCGAAACGAACAGTCATCTTTTGCGTGTATGTCTTACCGGACATATCATCTTTTAAATGTCCGAGTGATTCCGCGTGTATGTAGCCTACACGCCGTTAAATGTCAGAGCGAAACGAAGCAAAATGTAGATCTACATCTGGGGAGCGATACTTTTTTTCCTACGATGGTAGGGGAAGACTCATAAATGGTATTAACCCCAGTGACAGGTAAGTTTAGGGACGGGGTTGGGGGGGGGGGTCATAAATAAAGCCTACAGTAATGTAACGTTAAGTCAACGGCGTTGATAAACACGCTAAAAAGCGATTATGCGTGTTGATAGCACGCCAAAAATGGAAATACGAATTGGCGTGTCATAGCTACATACGCCATTTCATGAGATCAGTCTGCAATCATCCTTCAAGCAATATTTTATACATTAACAACAACATAATTATCACCTCATAGTTCAACCCATAAATAACTGTTACTCTCATTATATGATAAATTAAGATTTATATCACCCATCTGTATTATATACAGCACAGTGTTATCATTAACTAAAATTATAACTATTAAAAACTGTTTTTTTATTGAAATAACACTAGAATAAAATATAAGCATTAGATGTAAATGTAAACTTAAAAAACTTAAACAAATTAGACTGAAATAAAATATGTTTAAGTCCTAAAATAACTAAAACTAAAGCTGAAATAAAATAGAAATATAAAAACTAATAAAATTACTCAAACTAAAAATAAAAGCTCTTTTTAAATATTAATAAATTCTATAATAGTATATAAATAATACTAAAACAACACTTGTACAGCAAGTGCTAAATGCACTCGCTTTACCGCACCATTGTGACGAAAAGAGAGCTGAGCCGTAAGGCAAAGCTCTCGATCTACCGGTCAATTTTCATTTCCACCCTCACCTATGGTCATGAAGGTCATGACCGAAAGAACGAGATCCGCTAGTCAGAGCTGGTTAATGTGGCTCGGGAAAGAGAAGTTTGGGGTTCCCTGCCCCCGCGACCCGACCCCGGATAAGCGGATGAAGATGGATGGGATGGATGTGATGTGGGTGCATGCAATATCTCTTTAATTCTTGAATACCAGCTTTTTTGATTACAGTTATTTTTACAATGTTTGAAAGATGAATGAAAATCGTATGTTGTGTTTGAGGGTGAGTAAATGCTAACAGAATGTTCATTTTCAGGTGAACAGTCTTAGATTTCAGTAGGATGCAGGTCTGGTTTGATTTCACCCAGATCGGTGCTGTTATACTCACTTGTTTCCGGATTTTCCCATATATAAAGTTCATCAGAAAGGTCGTTGTAATCTATCGGATCATCAGCCTCTTCAAAGCTGCTTACATTACTCTCTGTAACCAAACATGACAAAACACTATCAGTGTATAGCACGCAAGCTACTAAAAGCAATTGAGTCTCATTTTCAAAGAGGCCTTGATTAAGATGTCCAGCTAATTCATTTCCTGTGAGCACTATCAGCTATGGAAGCTTGTGTCTGCCACAGAATGAAAAATAAAAAAAGGTAATTGTGACTTTTTATCTCACAATTCTGACTTTTTTTCTCACAATTGCGAGTTTACATCTCACAATTCTGACTTTATTTCTCACAATTGCGAGATATAAAGTCAGAATTGCGTAATAAAAAGTCGCAATTGCGTGTTATAAAGTCAGAATTGCGAGATATAAAGTCAGAATTGATTGATATAAAGTCACAATTGCAGGTTATAAAGTCAGAATTGCATGATATAAAGTCGAAATTGCGTGTTGTAAAGTCAGAATTCTGAGAAAAGATGTCAGAATTTCGAAATATAAACTCGCAATTATGTGTTATAAAGTCAGAATTGCGAGATGTAAACTCGCAATTGTGAGAAAAAAAGTCCGAATTGTGAGATAAAAAGTCTCAATTCTGTCTTTTTTCTCGCAATTGCGACTTTATTTCTCATAATTGCGACAATATCTCGCAATTGCGACTATTTCTCAGAATTGCGACTTTATATCTTGCAATTGCGACTTTATTTCTCAGAATTGCGACTATATCTCGCAATTGCGACTATTTCTCACAATTCTGATGTCATATCTCGCAATTGCGACTATTTCTCACAATTCTGATGTCATATCTCGCAATTGTGAGATAAAAAGTCGCAATTATTATTATTATTTATTTTTTTTATTCAGTGGCGGAAACAAGCTTCCATAATCAGCAGCCCATCTCTTAGCAATCTGATCTCTCATGAAGATGCAGGCATATAGAAAGCATTGCTAAGAGTCCAGTGCTCGCATTCGCAGGAAACGGCCATATGATGCAGAGAACAGATGCAGTAATTGGCCCTAAATGCAATGAAGGCCCACTTATGTAAAACGTACTGTCAGAAAGAACCCAATGACACAACAGAAACGCAGTACAACTAAACGTACTGTTGGTAACCTAACAGTTTTTGTTACCATTGACTTTCATTGTATGGACCTTTCTCAAAATATCTTCTTTATGTGTTGCAAAGATGAAAGACAGGCATACAGGTTATCAATAACATGAAGGTGAGTAAATTATGACAGAATTTTCCTTTTTGGGTTTACTTAAATGTGTTGTTTATCCTTGTTGATTCAATACATTGAATTTGAATTCAAATTTCACATTAAATTGGTTGTTTACACCACATCTATATTAACCTGTGAACATATAAATTGTTTTGCTATGATTTTTTGTACCATGTCAATATCGTATGTGAACTTAATATGGTAATTGGAGTACCATCAAAATAGCAAAATATCATATAGGCCTATATCAAAATACAAATTATTCAGCACCATATGTCAAAGCCCCATGGTAAATACAATGGTTCTGCCACAGTACGTTTTAGCAACAAGAGAAATAAAACAATTTGTGTAGAAAAATAGCAAACGTGTACATTTTAAGCCATCACACCATTTAATTACGAAATGTATACCATTTAATTGGTTAAATTTAAACTGAAAGCTTCCAATATGATGCAATCAAGGTTTCAGCCAACTATCTGCGTAATTTAAACAAAAATGTACTTACCATTAAAGGTAACAGTGCATGCATGCATAAGTATAAATGAAAGCAAGATAGTTTTGACCTCCATGGGTAGCTACCGATTAGGGGTCACTTGAAAAACAAACTAATGAAAAACTAATGGAATCTCTAGACAGTGCTTCTTCCCTCTCTGAGTGCTCAGTCTCTTCTGTGTGGAGATAATAGGATTTGTATTTGGTGACATCACTAACCTCAGTTGAGCCCATTCTGCTGCTATTATTAATGCATGAGAAATCATGCTGTAATTGACAGACATTGCAGCTCACAATGAGATATAGATGAACCATGATGGTTCATTTGGGCGTTTTCCCTAAAGCTCCAACATTAGCCTAAATCATATATAATGTCTTAATGTGGCTCCGATTATACATTATGGAGTATTTTCAATTTATTTGGCTACCAAGATAACTTTGTATTTAAAAATATATATATATATTATATACTTTAAATAATTTTCAATATATTTGAATTACTTTATAATCCGTTTTTGTTCATTAGTTTATTATAATTACATTTCTGCACCGACAGAATGCAGAATATCGAGTGATTCACTGACTGCACACACACGTGTTGAATCTGATAAATAACTTCATCGCTGGTCACCGATATGGTGCATTGCTTGTACATGAATATTACACTAAACCGTTTATCAGCTCATGTCCTTCCAGCGGAGTTCAAGAATCATTGCCATTTGTGTAATATTTTTTTGTCAATTTATCATTATATGCTGTTTTTATATGTTGTTGTTAATTATGATTTACAAACTGCTGCTCTTTTTTAGACACTGGGCTGTTTATTTTGGTTGTGACATCTAGCCAACCATGATACCACTCACTGAACCTCTGGCCATCTTTACTCCTGAGAGACTGCTTCTCTAAGACATCCCTTTTATAGCTCATCATGTTACAGAACTGATACCAATTAACTTAATTAGTTGCTAGATGTTCTCCCAGCTGAATCTTTCAAAATGTCTTGCTTTTCAAGCCATTTGTTGCCCCCGGTGCCAACTATTTTGAGACCTGTGGCAGGCATAAAATTTGAAACAAGCTCATTTTGTGCATACAATTGTAAAATTTCTCCGTTTAAACATTTGTTGTTATCTATGTTCTATTGTGAATAAAATATTGGCTCATGTGATTTGAAAGTCGTTTAGTTTTCATTTTATTCAAATTTAAAAAACGTCCCAACTTTTCCGGAATTCGTGTTGTATATAGAGGGAAGAATATTTTTCTAAATATGTGCACTATATTAAATATTTATTATATTTTTACTTATATCATTAAAATATTGTAACGTTGTTATTATAGCCTAGTATGTAAAATGTAAAAAACACATTATATTTAATTTGAGTTGTTATTTTCAACCTTTAATAATAATGCCAGCTGACAGGGCTCTCTGTTTACAGTATTAGTTGAGATTTTTTTTCTTGAGAAATTAAAAATACTGTACCTAATATTTATCCAAATTAAACAATATTGAATCAAGACCAGAATCAAATCACAAGATTTGAATTGAAATCGTGAAATTTGTGTTAAGCAATAATAAAAACAGTAGCCTACCAGTTATTGTACCATGTACACATTGTAACATGTCACTAAACTTAACAAAATTATGTTTAGTTACCTAATGTTTTGACAATCACAATACACACACCAAAAATGATGCACAGACTGAGTTTACACAAAGCATATGTTACATCCTGCTTAAATGTCCCTGCTTGTCAGAATGTTCAAAATATATTATTTTCATGAGCATACAAATGTTCTTATTCATTGTTCTATTTATTTTATACTATTGTATTAGTATTGAGACAATAACAAGTTTGCAGTAATGCAAAGATGTCATTATTGAATTTTGTAAAAACTATTATTTTATTTCGAAAACACTGTGCATTTAGATGTTGTTGCTATAGTTTGAGTTGAGAAATACACATTTCAGCATAATCACTAATCTGTGTGTGCAATTTCCTTCCCCAAATCGTGCAGCCCATTTAGCACATTTAAACTATTTTAATAAAAATGTATGATAGGCTAATTCTAAATTATATCTAGCATTAAAGGAGTTAAAAGTAGCACATTCTGCTTTGGCAACAAAGGCAGAGGGAACAAAGGCCCTAGGGAAACATTGCTCTGCAACGTTTCATTGTTTAGACAGACATTCCCGAACGTAGACAGCTATAAGGACCTCATTGCCTTATGTGCTCTGTCTAATAGTGATATGTGTTCAACTTCAACATCTCTTGAATACACGATTTTTTAAATAAAAGCATTTTTATTAAGCATGATATAGGATACCATCACACCATGGTTAAGGTATGTCACTCATGATACAATTTTTAAAATTCCTGGCACTCATCAAGGTTTCAGTCACACCACTGGCTATTCAATTTCGTATCAGCAAGACATCAAAATTACAAGTCACTTTTTATGCATATATTATTAAACTAACCTATAGCCTACTTACCGTTGATGGTGGCAGTGCACGTATGTGCCATTACAACTGAAAGCAAGATTATTTTAATCCCCATGACGACGACTAATTCTAACTCCAGACGTTTTACTCCAAAATCTGGACACTAGATTTCCGAAGTGCGGTTTGTGAGCCAGTCATTCATTTGAATCTTTCACTGCATCGGATGAACCGATTGAGCAGAACCGGTGGAGCAGAGCCGATGGGTTATGTCCGAACAAATGAAAGTTTTAAAGTCGACAACTATCTTGACTCTGGACTGACGCAAAACAAAAGTAGCCTAGATCTCTTTCTAATCAACGGAGTTGTTTTAAAACGTAAACGCCAGATGATGTGAAGCAATAGGCATTCAGTTACTTATGCATCCCTCACAGTCCCATCCTCACACATGACTGATTCGTTAAGACATTTGATCATGACGATTTGATTGATGTGGGGCAAGTTACGGATAAAATGTAGTGGAAATCAGGGTCGTGCAGAGAGTATGGGCAGGGGCTCAAATGTAAAAAAGAGGCATATGTTCATCCATTGCATTTATTTGATCAAAAATACAGAAAATGTTATACTTTTATATTAGCCTACTACAATTTAAAATAATGGTTTTCTATTGTAAAATACGTATGACCTTTGATACTTTTTCAGGATTCTGAGTTTAAACAAAAAAGAACAGCATTTATTTAAAATAAAAAATCTTTTGTACCATACAAAAAAAGATAGGGGCTCCGTAGTCTACTATTCTTCCTTAATTAAAAATAAATAAATAATACTTTTATTCAGCAAGGATATGTTAAATTGATAAAAAAAAAAGTGATAGGCCTAGTAAAGACTTATAAAATAATATTTTATTCTTTATCCTATTTTAATTCAATGCTGTTTTTTTTTTTTACTTTTTATTCATCAATGAATTCTGAAAAAAATATCACAGGTTCCAAAAAAACCCAAAACATTAAGCAGCACAACTGTTTCCAACATTAATAATAAATTAGCGTGTGACAGTGAAGACGGAGTAATGATACTGAAAATTCTGCTTTGCTTCACAGAAATAAATAATATTTTAAAGAATATTAAAATAGAAAACCATTATTTTAAATTGTAAAAAAAAAAAAAAAAAAAAATCTGTATTTTTGATTTTTAAAAATGCAGCCTTGATGTGCATATTATCGAAAAATGTTAAATAATAAAGTCCTTTAACGTCACCATTTCGCGTGTTGTTGTCAGCCTACACTTCCCATAATAGGCCTAGGTGGCGCCTTGAATTCATTTGACCAAATATGATAGTTTGGTAAACGGTGTATCCATATGCCTACATAGACAATAAATGCAAGTGACTTGAATACCTACCATTAATGCTACTTTTTGGTGCTGGTTTTGTGCAGTGATTTGTAGACAAAACATCCATTGTTTCAACGACGCAGATTCAGATCGCTTCATAAATGTAAATTTGTCTGTCCATTTAAAGGTATAGCGGAGGATTTTCTTTTTCCGGGTGGGTAGTCTATACTATTGGTCCACCTAAGTGTCAATCATTTTGGTGATATGTTTACGTAAGCCGTCGTAAGTGCTCGTCCCTATGTAGTTTTCGCTTTCTGCGCATGCACACTTTCAGTTGTATTATTTGTGATGAGTTACGGTTTCAGCCATTCCTTTGAAAATGGCTGAGGGTTGAAAGAGAAAAAATGTATACGAAGTGTATGATAAGAAGAGAAAGGCCGCAGGATATAGAAACAAGACCAGAGTGATTTTGGGTGAATATTTCACACGCTGGCGTGCGCTAAAAGCACAGGTTGGGCTTCCCACTGATGCCGCAGTCGCGAAGATTCTAGACAGGTAAAGTTTGTCATGCTATTTGGAGAAATCCATTTAAAATCACTGCTAGTAAAAGTTAATGTAAGCTATCATGCTCTCTCGTGCACACGTTTAATAGCCGTTCCCTCTCGGGAGCAAATAGAGTGTTGCGCATGTGCATTTTAAAAAAAAAATTGGAGAGGGCTCTTCTCTAAAATTCGGAGAGATCCTCCGCTACACCTTTAACTTTCAAACGATTTTATGAATGACAGGAAAATTACCGCTTCACTTCACATTGTCCAATGAAATTTGAACTCGTTGTGCCAGATGATGATTGGTCGATGTATTATACATGAAAACGTACTCCGTTACCTAACGTAACCTCGGTTCTCTCTACAGAGGGAATGAGTATTGCGTAAGTTTAGCTTACGCTACGGGTAAAGTTCATCTTTGCTCGAGATATTGAAGCCAAAATTATCCTTAATTTTGTATATATTGTCAACGCAGAGCAGCAACTGCAGACCTAGAGCTGGCTGCCCAGCGGCAACTGCAGTAGCCTACCAGTGAGCCTGCCGTGACGTCACGCCCAATGGTGGCGCTTCGCGCCCACTACGCGTCACAGCCCCCGCAAGGGGGTGTGGCTTAGCGTATAAAAGCGCGGCTCAGAGGCTGCTTCCCTGGTTTTCATGATCTGAAGCGAAAATCGAGTAGTATGAAGCTGCAGACTCGGAGACCTGCATCTACAGTCCCCCTGCACCCAGAGTCCCGCATTCTCAGACCCCTCGTTTTTCGAGACAGCGCCTCCTATCAAATTGTATCGGATAAACATGTGAAGAACTTGTGAAGAACTTAAAGGAGTACTCCGGCGCAAAATGAACATTTGGTCTAATGAAACAATTGGTACCTAGTCAACCGTTCTCTGAGATTTGTTTTCATGATAATCGAATGTAAAGAGTTTTATCTCTAAAAACTGTTTAGCGTATAACGCTAGTAATGGGGGCATTTAATAAGTAAAAAGAAATCGCTAGTTTATACCACTAACAAGGCTCAAAATAGCCCCACACGAACACAGTAACATAATGAGAGTCTCTACATGCAAAACGAAGCATTGAGAACTTTGTAAGTGTACAGACCGTTTAATAAGAAGATAAAGATAAAGACAGTCCACTTCGTGTATACAGACAGGAGCCATCTTTGGAAAACAGACTCGACTAATCAAACCACGAACGACGTGCTAAGTGAGCTGAACTGTATGAAGTTCAGTGAACTTCTGAACTGTATGAATGGCGTTCGTGGTTTGATTAGTCGAGTCTGTTTTCCAAAGATGGCTCCTGTCTATATGTGCTTATATGTATTTAGGAACAGTTAATTCACTCATTAACTATCTCTCAGGTTTAATTTTATGAAGAATATTTTTCGGTTGAATATTTACCGAACATTGCTGTATATAGTTGTTGCTTTCTACTTTATGGGAGCAGTCTATTTCCCTCCTAAATCATTCATTTTGTACATGCACAGCGTGCGTAATTATTTATATTTAATGTTGGTTGGAATTCTGAACGGACTGCAGACCTCTTTGCGTGATCACGAAGGTAGGCTAATGGCTGAATCGGAATATATAAGCAAGATCACGGGAATCAATAGCCTAATACAGCCCAGTTGTGCTAAAATAAATATCATGAGACGTCCATCATCAGATGAATGACATGGAAAAGTTAAGTTAGAGCCGCTAAAGCCAGTGCTACTACCCATGCGAACATGAACACTATGGCGTTTCCCTCCAAAAATATAGCCTATAAACTTATCTAAGTTGTCACCCTGCCTCTCCAAATGCAAAACTGACATTAACAAAATGCAATAACAGCTGAAAAAGTACTTGGGTGTGTGTTTTATTTTATATTTACCGTTTAATAATGCAATCGCTGCTGTCTGTCCATAGAAGAACATGACAGCCCGCATATGTTTTGGAACTATTGGGGCTTACATGAACCACGTGACAGCCGCCGCGGCGACATCAAAGCGTGTCGCAACTCTTTCTATCTATGGCTCTGGATGTAACCGATCGGCGAGAGTTGCCGCGTGCAGGCGGGGAGGAGCTGCAAACGGAGACGTGAAGTCGGACACTTTCTGGTTCCCGTAGTGACCGCTCACATGGTGTTTGCATACTTTACCACAGCTGAAGTGAAATAAATGCAATATTTGCCAAATACACAGATATTTCAGACACATTTTCATTCAATACTTTACTGCTTCATACAGTGTGGTGTACTTAAATAACCAGACCAGGCACGCGTTTAACTGTTTATCAGGAGAACTGTGTCAGTACACTCAACTCAACATGTGAGCATTACAGACTCTGCGTTTTCTCAGACCTGCGCAGAGGACACACAAGCCAACCAACGGCAAGTCTTAAGGGACAAACTTAATCCACATATAGTAGTACAAAATACACCACATTACCTCCCCTTTAAAATAAAAGGTAATCTCCCCACAGTGCATAAACATATATAGCACCAACTTAAACTACACTTCTTATACAGAAAAGTGGTTTCACTCTGGTTAATTAAATGATTGGCATATTTAAACAAAACATATTAACCCTTTCAAATAACTCAACACTCTTAAATAGCTGAGAAAGTTCCAGCATCACACTATACTTAATCTCTATAACGTGACGGCCGCTTAGTCATACGCTCCGAGCGCCTCAAAGTCACTGTCTCTGGATCAGGCAGCTCAGGCTGGTCCAATGTAAAAGATGGTGGGACCGGTGCTGCAGAGACTGGGACAGCAAGGTCACTCTCCGGCTCTGCTGACTGAGTTGCTCCTTGAGGCTCTGGGTCCGAAACACCCTGAGGATATCGAGGTCGCAACTGGTCTCCGTGACGCCTGTACACTTGGTCAGTTAACTCTCCCTGCACCCGGTACGACACCGGACCTGTCTGTTGTGTAACTACTCCCGGAATCCATTTAGGTTTATCTCCTGCAGTATTGCGTAAATATACAGGATCATCCACATCAAACTGTCTTTCAGCAGCTCGACTGTCATGCTCCTCCTTCTGCTGATACTGCCTCCTCCTCACCCTCATTGCGATGTTTGGCTTTAGGAAGTCTAACCGCGAACGCACATGTCTCTTCAGGTGTAAATCTGCGGGTGACTCTCCAGTCGCACTATTGGGAGTTGTGCGATATTGCAGTAGAAAATGCGAGACTTTGTCCTCAACACTCAAATCCTCTCCATCCAGCTTCTTCATGCCTGCTTTGAATGTGGCAACATACCTCTCAGCGAGACCGTTTGTAGCTGGATGTC